CCTCTATCAAAGGTAAGATTAAGAGTATGAATTGTAATTTCTAATACTTTTTGTGATTTTGGTTGTGCAACAGCACATGGTTGAACCTCTAGCTGTATGTGATGTAGTGTATAGATACAGGCAGATCAAGCTTATGGCGAGAGTTCAGTAGTTAGTTTGGTTGTTATAAAGTCCTACTGGTGCAGTCAGACAATGATACAGGCAGCCCAAGCTTATGGTGTCAGTAGTTAGTTAGGTTTTGATTTTTGAATTATGATAAAACCCGTACATATGTGTGGATACAGGCAGCCCAAGCTTATGGTGTCAGTAGTAAGTTAGGTTTTGATTTTTGAATTATGATAAAACCCGTACATATGTATGGATACAGGCAGCCCAAGCTTATGGTGTGACTAGTTAGTTTTGGTTTTGGTTTTTGAATTTGAAGGCATAATGGTTAAACCTGTACAGGTAGTCTGGCAATGATACAGGCAGCCCAAGCTCTCGGTGCGGAGAGAAGTTAGATAGTCTGTAGGTTTTGATTTTTTAATTTAAAGACATATGGTTAAACCTCTGTTCATGTGCAAAGGTAACGGGGCTGTAATTATTAAAAATTTTAAGTGAAATTTTCAGACACAATGATAAGCCAGTTATAAAAGCAGAGTTTCATATAAACGGTGTTAAACAAATAGCGTTCTGAACGCTTTTAAATTTGGTCTACTTTCGGCCTTTCCGTGTCTGTTACGCCGCAAAATATTATAATTGATAGAATTAACACAAAATGTAATGACATTAAGCATTTTAAAACAGCTTTCTGAACAAAATGTAGGAATTGCATAACGCAAAGTGAAACAAATTTTTAGCGCAAAACGTAACAACTTCTTTTGCGCGAAATATTACAAAGCAAAATGTAACAAATAAAGCTGTTAAGAAAAAGAAAACCTGGCAAGCGTGAGCGTGTAAGCCTCCTTTTTAAGGATTGTTACGAGACCCGCCATATCAGGTGTTCGATACAAAAATTATTGCGCTTGATTGAATTGAAAAATCTTTGAATATTTCTTTGCACACATTCGGAAGGGTAAATAATCGAGCAATTAAACTTAATTACCAAACGAGATGGGTCTAAGAAAAACTATTTTTTACCCCTTCTGTACCTGTTCTCTCAATAGGCTTATCGTGTTAGTCGACTACAGGTAAACGCTGCCCTGGAATAAACGTTCAATTAACGCTGTTCTCGAATAATCGCCGCACACAACCAGAGAAATGCGGCGTTTATTCGAGGATTACAAAAAAACTCGGTACAATTGGTAGTCTACACTGGCCCTAACCACAAGTTGCTCCAAAATTTCGAAAAAGTTGCCCGAAGTTGCTTGAATTTTACAAAAAAGTTGCTCCTGACGTAAAATCAAAATGATATGAGCCGGTGACAGCCATTTTCGCGCTTTTAAGACAAACGCCGCTAGTGAATTACAATAGTGTAATTCAAAACTACTTCCTTCTTTGCCCTGTTTTTAAACACAACTGCTGCAGGTGACATTCAAACGTACAACTGTGGAATGTCTTTCGTTTTCCTGCGCAATAAGAGTACTTAATTAAGTGATTTTACTTTACACGTGATTGCCGAGAAATAGTTCATGACAATTATATATCACCAAATAGTTACAATGAAGGAAAAAAAATCGTATTGGTCGCATAAATCAGTCAGTATCGTGTCAAAAAGAACGCTGTGAGTCGAAATTCCTTCATGAGATCAATATCTTTGTTCTCTTTGGTTTTCTAGCTATTGCAGCGTTTTCAGGCTTACTTAGATTTGCATCAAGCTTTTTGGCTTCGCTGATAGTAGTCAGAGTTAGAGAGTTAGAATTTTCTTCCTCTAAACTAACTGATGATTCAATGTTTGCCATCATTATGAAAAAGGCACGAACGGCTGACCCCAAACCGCGGGTAGTTTAACTGAGAAGCAGGGGTGGGTGTTAGATGGCTGAGGGGTGGGGGATGGGGCACAAATATTGATTTGCATGTTGTTAAATGATATCTATAATTATAACATTAAAGAACTGAAATGTTCTTATAAGGATATATAACAAGGCTTAAACAGTATCATAGGACTTTTTAATTGCCTTATGTTGCTTAAAATTTAATCAAGTTGCCCCATAAACTAAACGTTGCTCCAAAAGGTGGCAGAAAGTTACCGAGAAACTTGTGGCTAGGGCTAGTCTACACCATTCAGACTATTACAATTCTATCTTAAAAATTATGAAACACTGCGGCATTTTTTATACGGTATATCACGCTGGTTCAGGGTTCGAAATTTACTTTTATGTCCAGTTGCCCCAGGGGCAACCACAAGACTTGGTTGGTTGCCCATAGAATATTTTGGTTGTCCAAGCTCTTGCCCCAGTTCAAGCCAAGAAACTAATACAGGTAGCTAAACAGTGGCTTTTATTAATTTGAACAAGAAAATGAAATACAAATACAGTGAACTGTATTCAAGAGTATCTTGATAAAATGTTTTGACCAGCCTGTGTCTCGTTGTTTTGTCCATTAGTATTAGTATTATAAAAATGAACAAACATTACAGTATAATAACAGGAAAAAAAATTGGAAGTTGGAACCTCACAAATGAACACTTTTTCACAAAAGCTTGCCAGGAAACTTAATTCAAATGTCTTAAGAGTCTTGCAATTTACTGTTCTTCTTCTTCACGGCCGAAGTAGCGGAAGAGGCTCATGTTAACTAAGATGATAATAATAAGATGAATGGTAAATTGCCATCGTCGAAACAAACATGGCGGCATCACGGAGCGGATCTCACTAGTGCATCATGGACTATGTTTACTGGTACCAACCGCTGATTAAAGCACAACAGGCTCATTCAAATAAGAATGTTGTGCAAAAACGAACTTCGGTTTCCAACGGTAGTGTACGTGATACTTTAGTATTTCTTCCGCCTTTTTTTTTTTTCTTTCCACTAACTTAGTTTAGGTATCGCCATCCTCGGAGACCCAGGGGCGGTCAGTCGGGCCGGGAGAAAAGGCGCGACTTTCGTCGCGCCTTTTCTCCCGGCCCGACTGACCGCCCCTGGGTCTCCGAGGATGAGGTATCGCTTACTCTCCAAAGACAACAAGCTGTTATATTTATTCAAATCTATCTATAGTCTTCATTAAGGACTAGTGCCACGACAGATTGGGTTGCCCAAGGGGCAACTACTTAGCACAATTTGGTTGCCCCATCGTAATTTTGGTTGTCCGGGACAACCGGACAACCGTTAATTTCGAACCCTGACTGGTTCCTACATGCTTGTACTTATAGTTAACGTGACATTTCATGGCTTTAGATTTTGGTCAAAACACAGCCGGTATATAGTCCCGGATTACAAAGTTTTTGCTAAGATTTATCGGGTCATTATACGTCTCTGGGAAACTGCCCACCTACCCCTCCCCTAAAGTGAAATGTCCAGCTTCACCGCAGGATAGGATACATATTCACGATTTGCAATAAAGAATGCAACAGAAAAAGGTTTCTCTTAGACACCTTTCCGGTGCATATAACTTTTATCAGTATAGAAGTGACTAAGTTTTTACTTTGACTCTTTATTATACCTGTAGCTGAAGAATTTAGTTTTTATATTTTACATTGTCACATCGCCAGTTTAATGAAACGTTGTTACAATTTGCAATCAGCTTCTTACATTTTGCATTAAAACTGTTTTGCATTTTGCATTAAAGGTTTTTACATTACGAGTTCATGTTACTTCAGATGTTTTCAAATTTCGCGTTAATTGGCGCCATAATCTTCGTCTCTTCGCACCTTCCCGACTAACAACCTGTCTTTCATTGGAAAATAATAAAAAAAGGCGGGGGCGAAACAAAAATCAGCTTCCATACGATTGGCACTCGTGCAAGCTGAAGACGTTGTACAAACAAGCAATGTTAAGTGACAATTGGGCGAAAGGAACCATTCTAAATTTCATTTTATTGATCAATATTTCGTTTATGCGCAGTTGTCACTCAGTTTCAAGGGAAGAAATGCAGTGCATTTTCTTTAAAGACAGAGTTTTTAATTGTTTTTTGTTTTAGGTGAACTGAAATCATATGTTCCTTGTAAAACGTAGTCTGTTTGCCAATGGTACTCAAGTGATTTTGATTGCTTTGTATCGTTTTTTAATTATCTTTTCAGAAAAAATGCAAGACCTACGCGAAGCAAACTCGACAAGGCGGACCTCTGAACTGGAAACCGGACAGTTGAGGGATTTTCAGCAACGTGAAGAAAATTTACTAAGACAGTTCAGAGAGCTTCAGGAACGGGAACAAAACTCTCAAAGGCAGCTCACGGAGTCGCGGCAACGTGAACAAAATTTGCAGCGGCAACTCAGAGTGGTTCAAGAACAGGAACAAAATTCTGAAAGGCAGCTCACGGAGTTTCAGCAACGTGAAGAAAATTCACAGAGGCAATTGAGGGAGACAAGACAGCAGTTGAGAAATTGCCGAGGACAAGTTTCTGAACTACAGTTAAGTCTTTCAACAGCACAGCAAACAATAAGTGAATTGCGCAGCCAACAAGCACGTGACTGGGTTATTCCCCGAGACGAAATTCAAATCACATAGAAATGCCTTGGGAGGGGAGGATGGGGAAGTGTCAATGAGGGAACGTATTGTGTCTGTACTGTGGCAGTGAAACAAATCCATGAGTTGATTCTTTCTTCTCATAACAAAAATCTGTTTGAAAGAGAAATGAATATCGCTTCTAAATGCCGCCATCCTCACTTACTACAGTTTATCAGCGCCACAAATGATGAGGGAAACCCTCTGTTTGTGACCGAGCTGATGGAGAAAAGTCTGCGNCAGCCAACAAGCACGTGACTGGGTTATTCCCCGAGACGAAATTCAAATCACATAGAAATGCCTTGGGAGGGGAGGATGGGGAAGTGTCAATGAGGGAACGTATTGTGTCTGTACTGTGGCAGTGAAACAAATCCATGAGTTGATTCTTTCTTCTCATAACAAAAATCTGTTTGAAAGAGAAATGAATATCGCTTCTAAATGCCGCCATCCTCACTTACTACAGTTTATCAGCGCCACAAATGATGAGGGAAACCCTCTGTTTGTGACCGAGCTGATGGAGAAAAGTCTGCGCACTTTGTTGGAGCAGCGGCAACTCTCCGAGACAGAAATAGCCGTCATTTGTCTGGATGTAGCGCTTGCTCTGAACTACCTTCATCAGAAGAAACCAGAGCCTATCATTCATCGTGACATCAGCAGTGCTAATGTGTTGCTATGGCGACAAGGTGACCAATGGAGAGGCAAAGTGTCAGATTATGGTACTGCTAATTTCATGCACCAGACCATGACAGTGGCTCTTGGAGCTATGATTTACAGTGCACCTGAAGCACTTACATCAAAGCAAACCGTCAAGGTAAGTTTTAGTCACTGTTCAAGGCTGTTAACATTGGCGTAAGAATTAAGTGACCCTTACCCAAACTTCTTTCCATACATCGTATCGATCGTGGTTTTTTCTTTCCGCTGTTATCGGCTTACGGAAGAAGCAGCTGCGTTAGTTTTTTGGCTTTACAATGGCACTGTGTTATGTTTTGTTGTTGTTGTTGTTGTTGGTTTTTTTTTTTTCATGCGGAGTAGAAAACTGTGTCTGTTTAGCCTCTTGAGTTATGCAACGGACAATTTTATTGACAAGTGTCCTGTTTAATTTCTCGTTTTATAAGATACCTGTATATCTGTTCAAAATTAGTCAAATATCTGCCATTTTTGGCAGTGATTTTGCCACTGCGCGCATATTTAGCTCATTGTTTAAAATTAGCCAAATCCATCGTTGTGCCCCTTAATCTGGTCTTAATTGTGCTCTTTAACGGCGAAATTTCAATCATCCCTTTTATGAGCTCCTTTGGGCTCTGACTGCATTTTCGCGCGCTCAAATTCTCCCCCCTCCTACGCTTGTAAGTTATCAGGCAAGCTCATTTAGACCATCTCATTAGTGAATTGGTTCTGGTGCTGCTTTAAGACGTTTAGTCCCTACAACATGTAGATTATATGAATAACGACACGCCTAAAAGTTGTCCCCGTGGGAAGGCATTGGTGTATACAGGCCTAAAATCAAGGTTGCGAAAATGTTATTTGAAAAGGGCTTTTTCTGGCAGCGTACAGTCCCCGTATAATCTTTATTTTTGCTCTTAATTCCGCTCATAGGTTCTCATATTTACGAGCTTTTGTACCTCCAAATGGAACTCAGTGTTTATCGGCAACTGTAATTTTTCTGCTTATCTCAGCAAACTCGGTTTGGCTGTGATGAACAACTGCCCCGAATAATGTCCCTGCAATGAAAATGTAGCCTTTGTTCTAGGCCGCCCGTACCAGAATTTTAGTACCCGCCATGATTGGCCTGTTAAAGAAGCTATTGCCAATTCGCCCAATCATATTGAAAGGACCCCGTAGGGGTCCAGAACAAGGATCTCACCGCTGCTTCGCAGACGTTACTAACCGGGGTTAGATTACGTCGGTGATTTAGGCTATGAAAACCAAACCTCGTTGGATTTTTACTAACCGCGGCAGGATTAGCTCAGTCTGTAGAGCAACTGGACTGCAGAGCGGAAGGTCGCGGGTTCCATTCCTGCGGCCGGACCATTACTCAGGGTCTTAAAATAACTGAGAAATAAAGTTACTTCCTTTGCACTGCAAGCGGCTAGACCTTGCGGGCGTGTCTTGGATGACCACGTGAAATGGCGGTCCTGTCTCCAGTTGGAGACGTTAAAATAGTGTCCCCAATTAGTACTTTCGTGCTAAATACCTTGACACTCAAATAAAGTGCATTTTTTTAAACAATATTGACTTCCTCAAATTATTGTTGTTAGGTTGATGTCTACAGCTTTGGTGCTCTTCTTTGCGAAATGTGCATCCGACAACTTCCAGATCCTCAAAGGCGTAACGAACAAGTCGTGCTTGTAACGAACGGTGTGTTTCGTGGCCTGGTGCGGCGATGCTTGCAGAGAGAGCCTGGGGCGAGACCAACAATGCAGGAGATAATCGATGAACTGAAAGACTTCGATCCAACCTCTTAACTGTAAAAAGAACGGTATGCAATATGATTGAAAACTCGCAGTTTTTAGGAACTTTCTGTGGAAAAAGTTGAAAAAAGAGAAACCTTTTTTCGCTGAATTTTAGGACATGAAAATAGGTTTAAGTAATTCCGGTTGTAAGGGCCTGAAAAAGGTGACCTTATTCGCGAGCGTTTACTTAGCTCTTAGTTGTTGCGCGGAAGCAATGCAATTAACATATGACTTAGGAACTGATACTAGAATTTGTATTGAGAAGTACAGTGTCTGTAGAAGTCAGGTACTTGTAGTAAAGAGTTAATACTTACGTTAGTAATTAGGTATTCGTTGTTAAGGTATTTACAAAGTAATTAGGTCTTTTCTGTGGAGAATATAACTTTGATCAGTTGTTAGGTGTTTGTACTTATGAGGGAGATAAGGTAAAAGTTAGGGTTCTTTTGAAGATTTTAAATTTGTTTCGAAATCGTACGATTTTCGAGTGGCACGGCTGTGACCAGGCAATGCAACGCAGATAGATATTTTAAAACGGCTTATACATATATATCATTCTTTTTTTATGTAATTGTTTTCTGAAACTCGTACTTACATGATGATTATATAACGACTGTGTTAAATATGTTTAGGCACCGGGAACGTGAACGTTGTTGAAAACAGGGCTGCCAACTTGGCATGATAGTTATACTGACATTTAAAAGCAGCTGAATTTTTTCAGCCATTTTCGGAAACAGCAGCTTTTGTGACCTTGATGTTGATCGGTGTTGTGACTGACCCGGCGGCCAGGATACTGTATGTGGTGTAGAGTTTGGACCTATTTAAGCTGTTTCACAGCATTGTCATGTTCACCAGTTTTTGTTCTTAAAATGATGAGGCTACACGACACAGCAAAATCCTCGCCACCGGCTCTTCTGCGCGTGACCACCATGGCGGAAAGTAGTTAGTCAGGTCTGAAGCGTAGACACTGGGGTCGGAGAATGGAAACAACATAATTTGCTATATGTGCATTGTGTAGTTCCAGAAAACATCCATACCCTCCCCACGAAAGCACGAAAGGAAACTGAATTTCTGAGGGGAATGGGGGGTCCAAACGGAGGCAATTTCCGAGGGGGGGGGGGGG